CACACACACACACACACGTAAGTTTTTGTTTGTTTGAACTTATTCATTATAATTATTGTACAAAATGGTATAAGAATGCAAACATTAAGATCTGTTTTTTTATACTCTACTAAAATGCAACAAAAAAAGGGTTTGATCCTCTTAATTGTGTCTTTTTATTGCACTTTGGGCCTGAGTTGTCTTATTAGTAAGCCTAATTTATACTTTTGTAGCAACACTATTTTTATACAATAGCAAAGAAAGGGTTCAGAGTCTTTTCTTTTTTTCCTGTGTCATATGTGGCAGCACTGTTCAATGTTTCTTGAAAACATTACCCACTGTAGTATGTGACGTGTGAATAAACTCCAACTCTGTATCAACAACACTGTTGTGTAGCTTCAGTTAAATACTTGTGTGTAGATTAGAAAGGGGTAAGATAAAGGATCTGCAGTATTTTATGAAGTATTAATTGTACAAAGGTCAGTTTTATACAAGTAGAAGTGTGTATTTACCTGTAGGCTGTCCGTAATGGTTACGCCTCTCTATTTAGACTGGTAGATCTCGGCAGACTGGCAACTTTAAAAGTAGCTCTCGGTTCAAAAAAGGTTGGGCACCCCTGCTTTATGGGATGTATCATCAGAGGCCCCTCACAGTGTAGTGTGCCCCCCTGCCCCTGCATAGAGGGGTTTCCTTCCCATCTGAAATAACGAACAGAGATGTTTTAAAACCATTATTGTAATTTATTTATTGTTACAACATTTCAACACCAAAAGCCCTTGAACTGTTTTTTTTGTATCTCCTTCATTTGCAGTTGTCAGCAGAATCCACCGGGGTAAAGGTGCACATACTGTACTCCACTGCTTTACTGTATTGTACTTCACACTGTACTGTACTCCACTGTACTGTAATGCACAGAGCAATTCACTCTGATCCATGATAGAAAAATAACAGAAGCAATGTTTGGCACACAAAATCATTTCAAGTTTAAAAAGGGTTACAAGTTGTGAGCAGGAATCATTACTGACGTTACAGAACACCTCAGCCAGTCTTCACCTGGGGCCTTCTCAACATTAACTGAATGATGTTTCATAGTAAACCACATGTTGAGTACTGTAACACTGGGGAAAGTCATTCAGAGCTCCATTTGTGGCCTCAGCACTCAATCCATTGGGATTCTGTTATAAATGCATCAACATTAGTTTAAAAGTTAGAATATTTGTCTTTATCTATGTGCAGGTTTCATCTTATGAAGTGTTTTTGTGAATACAGGGGTTACACTTTCTGCCCTGAACAATGAAATCCCTCACATTTAAACCAGCGCTGCACGATATTGGAAAAATCTGACAGAAATATGTGTTCTTCTTCTGCGATATGTTGCATTATGAACAAATACAGGAATTTCAACCAGAAGAGCTGTTTTCCATTCAACATCATCCTTTCTGTCACCGAAGTATTTCCATACTGACAAGCAGGGAATGTTTTTTTTAATAAATTGAAGAATGAATGTGATTGGTGGTTAGCAAGAAACTGCTTAGCCATAAAGCCTTCAATAGTAATAAATGCCGACTTTTCTAGTAGATAAGTCACAGATAACACGACAGTGCAACTTTCCCGTTTACACCATGCAGTAAAAATATGTAGCAGGATGATGCGACGATCACAATGTTAATGCTAAAATAGTTTATCGTGCGCCCCTTATTTACACCTTTCAAACTTTGGATTTCTCCTAGCAGACGGAGCTCATCTGTAAAAATGACATTGAATGATCCCACTTGAACACTGTGGAAATTAAAGGTAAAATAAGGCAGATGGGCAACAAATTAAGCATTTACTTACAAGGTGCTCAGGTCACAAATGGCTCTGTTGGGACATTTGAGGTGAAAGCGGGAATAGTACAAACACAGACTTCTCATAAAAATGTCCCTTTTTTAAATCCACTCTTGCATCATGTAAACATCAGCTCCTCCATAACAGAAATACAGTATTAGTGGTTAAACATGATGGCAGAACAATCGTCTTTACTTCATATGTTCCAGCCAAATCCCCCCTTCCATGTACATTTGTAAACTGCTACTACACACAGATTGGCTTTACCTAAAAGGGCATAAAACACAGGACAGAGAAGAGAACAGCCTGAAATTACACAAATGTAACCTTCCATTTTTACTGGCCTTTAGATTCTACGTTACATTAAAGAGGCAGAAAGGGCGTCATGATGTTTGTCGGCCGATGTAAGGAATGAGGAAAACACACATTTGGATGGAAGAGGAAGAAAAAGCAGCTAACTGCACATCCTGATACAATTACACACTTCCGATCTGATGGAGGAATATATATTAAAGGTCCCATGTCATGGCGATTTATATTGATCATAATTCCATTGTTTAGGTCAACTAGAATATATTTATATTTTCCAAACTCACATTGGTTTCTCATACAGCATCTCTGTAAAGTATGTGTATTCACTCCGGCTTAAACAGCTTGTTGGAGCACACACACACACACACACACACACACACACACACACACACACACACACACACACACACACACACACACACAGTTTGTGTGTGTGCCCACACACAGGCTGAGTTCCGCGGTGTCTCGCTGTCTCACCGACCCCACACCAGTGAGCCAGCTCACAGTGTCCCGCTCCTTGCAGCAGCAAGCCTCGCAACGTCCCGCAATTGGTCCAATCGTAACGGCTCCGCAGATTGGTCCATTTGGAGCGGAGCCGTTACGTTATGTCACTATACCCGAAATACGTCACTATACCCAAGAAGTAAAAAATGGAAAAAGAGAAATCTCCAACGAGGCGTTCTGGGGCAGCACAGACAGGTCTTTTCTGTGTTAGAGTTTTGCTCGCTACAGGGTGTACTTTGAGGGTTTGTGAGTCTGCAGACTGTTCACATGCAGAAAAAGCTTCATAACACACAAGGGGACGGGTAATAACCGGAAAAGAATGACATGGGACCTTCAATAATAAACAAATGGGTTGTTATTCACAATGGACACGTCGTTTTGTATGGCATTTCTTAGCAGCTCATTGAGTAAGAGTGAGTGTAAGTTAAGAGTGTTAATGCAGAAGCTTCACTTTGTTTACAATTTAAATGTAATAACCGTTCAGTAGTGATCAAGTCACATGCTGCACCCCATGGGGATCTACAGTAGGTGGGGTTGGGTGGATTCTAATAATCTGGATTGCAACACACAAGCAGAATTAGAAAGAGGACAAACACAGTGTACAAGTAGGATAAATCCCAGAGGCCAGATTTTGCTTGAATTCCAAAACATGAACATATCATTGCAAAATAATCATAATTCTTAATATCAGTGGTTTCCAACTGGCCGTTTTATTTTCCTGGTAAACTCTGGATATTTGAACCTCTTTAAAGCCTCTAAATAACGTTGTCTTGTAGTTTGGGGGTGTGGAAACTAAGGCAACATCAGATTAGGCAGTGTTTTTTTGTTTTCTTTAAGTGTTAAACTAAAAAACACTTATAGACTAGGACCAGAAACAAAACATTTAGAAGTAGAAAGTTATTTCACATGAAGTTTAGCCTAAGTAGCTCTTTAATTGCGGGTGCAACTATTTCCTTTTTCAAATGTTATTGTCCATTGTGTTTTTATTTTATCCATATTTATTACCTCAATGTCCATTTCAATTTAAGTGCTGTAAGCAAAATCTCTGGCTAAATTTGAGATGTTTGACTAAGGCTAAGACATTATTGCAGGGGACGGTTTACATGTCCATGAGATAAGTCTGAATGAGGAAGTTAGAGAACCTATACGCCTTCTTTTTTTCAACAGACGGGTCTAAAGTCTTATCAAGCAAGCAGAAATACTACAGCAGATGCAGATAAGTGATTGGGTTTGGTTGTAGATCTATTTATAGCCGCCAGTGGGAGTGGAAGTCAGGCTTGTGTGCACGTGCTCCCAGTTTCTCAACAACTGAGATTTAAAAGATCCATGCTTACACAAATCTGATATTAACAGTGCAATACATACAGCAGGTATGACAGGTGTGTCTAGCATGAGCTGTATACATCTGATAACACCAACCAAAAACCCATGAAGGGGGAGCAGAATGGGCTTTGTGTAAAATCTCAAGTGAGGTGGAGAAGGCAAGATGTGCAGTGTGTACACAGGATAATAAGAAAGGAACAGAGAGGACGGGGGAACAGAGAGGACGGGGGGACAGGGGGACGTCAGCTTTAAACAACATATTACATAACCCACTTCCTGGAAGTTATTTGCTCTGGGACGGCTGTGAGCGGAGGAATGTGTTCAGATCTTATCAGCAGACAAAGTGCTTTGTGAGCACACATCAAGTATGGGCTGTAGATTGATCATGGTGTGTTAGCATGTCATCACACACAAGGGTGTAACTTTGGTTTGAGAAATGGTGGGGGACACAAAACAGGGGGTCCTCCGCAATGAAACATTGTTCTCGATTTAATTCCATTTCCTGCCTTTCTACAAATATATATAGGGACCATTTTTTTCTTTAAATTGAAGTTAAAGGAATCAATCTGGTGCACAAATTCAGAGATATATTTCAATACTATCATTGTAACACATCATTGATCAACTCCTCTCTCCTATCTTTATCTTACCTAGTCTGCATTCTTTCTTTTTATGCATATTTTACTAATCACTCCCCTTTTAAAACTGTCTTTTTATTTTTTACTGACATTGGAATTATTTCTTAACTTATTTTGAACTATATTAAATAGATGGAGATATTTTTTTACATAGATGACCAAACCGTTTGAGACCCACTGAGATAACTTAGACTAAAGTTTACAATCTAATCACTCAAGAGTCCTTTACCTGAGCTGACGTTATCTCTCTCAGTCCGACAGGAGAGGACTCTCTCTCTCCTTATTGTTGAAACAGCTTCTAATCTCTGTTAGCTCCGAGCTAGCACCAGATGCTAACAACAACCCCCGTAACTCCCTCTTTCTCTCTGTCTCTCTCACAAAATGCGCTCGTGCCACACACACACAGACGCTCCTCCGTGATGATGACTGCTTGCGTAAACACATTTGAAAAGTGGGGGGGACCCAAAGGGATTTTGAAAAGTGTTTTGACATGTCCCACCTGTCCCCAGTGGAAATTACACCCATGACCATACAGGCTCAATAAAAGAAGAAGAAGAAGCCCAATGGTTTATGGGCAGTACTGTGGGAGAGGCGAGATTTTGAACTCAACTCAATGTTTCTCAGACCTACACAAAATGGCCATACATTTAAATATATACTGTATGTATTCCACTGAGTTACATTTGACCAACACCAGTGCTGAATGTGACTACTAAATATTGATAATTTTCTGAATTTTAAACCTTTAAGTGCCACACGCTTGTTTCAATAATGCCCTTGATATGCCTTTTATTTCTTGTGTATGGGTGGCAGTAGCTCAGTCTGTAGGGACTTGGCTCGGGAACTGAATGGTCGCCGTTTCAAGTCTCCATCTGACCAAAATATACGTATAATATGTAGCTGGAGAGGTGCTAGTTCAGCAGCACTGCCAAGGTGCTCTTGATCAAGGAACTGCTGTTGGCTCTGACACCTCTCCATCACAGTGCAGATATCAATTATTAGTAACAACATTTACTTAATATAATGACATAAAACAGCCACAAGTAGTTAAAATGAGATAATGGTTCAATCTTCAATAGTTAAACATTGGGGCTTTGATAAGTTTCAATGGGGATATTTGTTACCGGTCTACCAGGTCTCTATTATTTACCTGTGATACTTCTTATAAGTTGTGTTGCGAGCTTCAAAATATTATTTTAAAAAAACACCTAACATGTATGCCATACGCATTAAAACAGCCTAAATTAATTAAAACTAAAAGCTAAAAATTTCACTAGAGAGGCACAAGGGTTAAAATGCTGTGTGTAATGCATGTGTGGTGAGTGCTAAAAATAAGTATGAGAAAAACACCCTTCTTTCATTCAGTGCATTGTGAAGTCTTTGTTCCCTTTTGGTAATCCTAAACTCACTATCACACACAGTTTTGCTAGGGCTAAAACAGAAGTTAAACATTTTGGGTTATAACATTTATTTGCTTTCCGTCTGAGGCAGTTAGCTTAGCATAAGGACGCTAGGCAGGGGGAAACAGCTAAGCTATCTCACACTCAGAAATCAAGCCTGTATTTCCCAAAATGTTGAGCTTTTCCTTTAACAATTTAAAAGTTTTTACATATACATCAAGTATGATCACTTTTTCATAACAACATACAAATATTTGGCCCTCATACTGTATGGCTGTTTTGTTTTGATAAGGGTCAAGAGTCTAACCATCAGAGGCAATAACTAATGAAGTAAAAACTATGTTAGTCAAAGACAACATGTTATTCCTTCACCCCCTTTAAATTAATTTCCATAATGTAAAAGCTGTGCTCAATCTGAACTAGTCTCCTCTTTCCTACCACTCTAAATCCATGGATGTTACAAGCAGTGCCTATAAAAAGTCAAGTGAAAACGTCATAAAAAGAGGAGGACCGAGCAACCAGGAAACTAGTTGTGACTCACACATTCATGGCCCCTCGCTGGGGGTCATTTCTGCGCATGGCACGCTCCGCACAGACCTGCTACTCCGTCTTGGATCCCTTGTGCCCGGAGGAGCCTCTGAGGTAGGTGTCGTAGAAGAAAAAGGCGAAGAGGACCAAGTAGCTGAGGTACATGAGGAAGCCCCAGGTGATGTTGTCCATGTTGGAGGGACAGCGCACCTCGTGCTTCCAGTTGTACACCAGGCCCAGCACGGTGAGGCCCATCACCATCTGCAGGATCTGGGTGGTGGTGATGATCATGGCGCAGGGGCGGGGCACCCTCCAGCCGGCGGCCCGGGCAGCGTAGTACGTGTACATGAAGGAGTGGACCACGAAGTTCATGGTCATGAACCAGCCGCCACCCGCCACCTGGTCCTTGTAGGAGTACCAGGAGTAGAGTAGCACGGTGATGTGGTGGTACCAGTGCAGGAAGATGAGGCGCTGCTTCCGCAGGATGATGAACATCGTGTCCCCTGGGAGAGGAAGACATCAAATGCATTCATAAAGGAATCTTTAATTTCATCTTTGTCACATGACCAGATAAGTTGTATACATCGATCAAAGTTTCGGGGGTGACTTTTAGCTTTAGCTTTGACCTAATGCAATTAGCATAGTTTACCATTCCTATGCAATGAGAACCAACATTTTGTATGCACTAACTTTATCTACTGTGCATAAAGTGCTTAAACTATTGGCATGTTTATAACCAGTTTTTGGATCTGAATGCTTAATACATATGTATGAGTTGTTGTGGTGATATTACTATGTTTTTATAAACCATAATTAGCCTATATATCTGATTTATTTGCACAAATTATACTGGTCTTGAACAGTTTACACCCTGTATTAAAGACGAAGACTGTCTTCCTGTCTGCGGCTGAGGAAACACTTTCTCTATTAATCATCCACTAATGGGATTTTATTGCCAACTCAGCATATGCCTCCCTTTCCAACATCACTCAGGTCTCTGGTTCAATAGAGGGCATGAAGAGATCAGTGTGCACACAGGGAGACAGCACTATCTTCTAAAGAAGCAGCTTTTAAGGTTTGCTGGGAAATGTCAGGAAATTACCGTGAGAGCTTTTTTCCAAATGTAGCCTAATTTTACACCACCAGACATTTTAGTGGCTTCTGAAGTTTTGGACTACAAAAAAAGAGATGACAGAAGTCTTACCCAGCTCTGGTGCCTTGCTAAGAACAAAGGCGTAGGCCCAGAATTTGCTGACGGGGGCGCTGTAGAAGCTGATGTCACACACAGACTGTCTGAAGCCGTTGGTTGTGAGGACGTGCACCATGTACAGTCCTGTCCTCACCGCTCCTATGATGCTGCAGAGGGAATCCAAAACAGTCAAAACCATTAAAAAAAAGCATTTGAATGGGGTGATGAAATCAACATATCGTGATGCAGTTACACTGGGGAAAAAAAGTATTTAGTCAGCCACCAATTGTGCAAGTTCTCCCACTTAAAAAGATGAGAGGCCTGTAATTTTCATCCTAGGTATACCTCAACTATGAGAGACAAAAGGAGAAAAAAAAAAATCCAGAACATCACATTGTCTGATTTTGAAAGAATTTATTTGCAAATTATGGTGGAAAATAAGTATTTGGTCAATAACAAAAGTTAATCTCAATACTTATATGTTATATACCCTTTGTTGGCTATGACAGAGGTCTGTGAAACACACAGACAGAAAATCACATTGTCTGATTTTGACAAATGGAAGGAGGTTGTCACTCAAAATCTCACGATACATGGCCCCATTCATTCTTTCCTTTACACGGATCAGTCGTCCTGGTCCCTTTGCAGAAAAACAGCCCCAAAGCATGATGTTTCCACCCCCATGTTTCACTGTATGGTGTTCTTTGGATGCAACTCAGCATTATTTCTCCTCCAAACACGTCAAGTTGAGTTTTTACCAAAAAGTTCTATTTTGGTTTCATCTGACCATATGACATTCTCCCAATCCTCTTCTGGATCATCTAAATGCTCTCTAGCAAACTTCAGACGGGCCTGGACATGTACTGGCTTAAGCAGGGGGACACGTCTGGCACTGCAGGATTTGAGTCCCTGGCGGCGTAGTGTGTTACTGATGGTAGCCTTTGTTACTTTGGTCCCAGCTCTCTGCAGGTCATTGACTAGGTCCCCCCGTGTGGTTCTGGGATTTTTGCTCACCGTTCTTGTGATCATTTTGACCCCACGGGGTGAGATCTTGTGTGGAGCCCCAGATCGAGGGAGATTATCAGTGGTCTTGTATGTCTTCCATTTTCTAATAATTGCTCCCACAGTTGATTTCTTCACACCAAGCTGCTTACCTATTGCAGATTCAGTCTTCCCAGCCTGGTGCAGGTCTACAATTTTGTTTCTGGTGTCCTTTGACAGCTCTTTGGTCTTGGCCATAGTGGAGTTTGGAGTGTGACTGTTTGAGGTTGTGGACAGGTGTCTTTTATACTGATAACGAGTTCAAACAGGTGCCATTAATACAGTTAACAAGTGGAGGACAGAGGAGGCTCTTAAAGAAGAAGTTACAGGTCTGTGAGAGCTAGAAATCTTGTTTGTTTGTAGGTGACCACATACTTATTTTCCACCATAATTTGCAAATCAATTCTTTAAAAATCAGACAATGTGATTTTTTTCCTTCTCATTTTGTCTCTCATAGTTGAGGTATACCTAGGATGAAAATACATCCTACAAGCCTCTCATCTTTTTAAGTGGGAGAACTTGCACAATTGGTGGCTGACTAAATACTTTTTGCCCCACTGTACGTCATCTAAATTATCAAGCACAAACTGACTTACATTTATATCAGATGGTCTTAATCTGATTGTTCTGTATTGGTTTGAATCCATGCTCATAGTGGAATAAGTGTCTATAATTAAATTATAGTAGTTAAACACAACACGTAAGTAATGACATGTAGTGTGGCTCGCTTTAAGGGTTGTGCTTGAATACAGCATTTGAACATTTTTATAAAAGATTGAAATGCAAAACAAAAAATGTACATAAGTAAAAACAAGTAAACGGCAAATATGAAAGTAGGGATGCACCGATACACATATTTTCACTTCCGATCCGATTCCGATAACTAAATTTGGATATCTGCCGATACCGATACTATTCCGATATCTCTGATAACAGTCTTGATCTTTCAAATTATACCAGCCACTTGATGATAGACCAAAGTATACTGGCACAGGAAGCACTTAAGTAGNGGCTATAAAGGAACTACAGCACGGTCACATGACTTCACGTCACCACCGCTAAGCTAAAGGAGGCTAATGTTGGGCTATAAAGGAACTACAGCACGGTCACATGACTTCACGTCACCACCGCTAAGCTAAAGGAGGCTAATGTTGGGCTATAAAGGAACTACAGCTCGGTCACATGACTTCACTTTATGGTTTTTCAGTATAAGACAGCATTTAAACTGACGGTATGTTTAAGCTACTTTATGCCATCAAAACATTGATTTTAATTTCTAACATAACCAAAAACACATATAGAAAACCATTGACCTCCAGACCAAAGGACAGGAAGTGGCTAAATGCTGACTCATTTCCAGGTTTCAGGACTCATTCCTGCACCACTCTAGGTTCAAAGTCTTATTACTCATGTGTCCTTCGTTAATTTGAGGTTACTTCAACACGAGGAAATCTTTTATTCCAGACGTTTTACCATCATGGCTTTACGATATGGTGTTCCCGAAGAACAAAGGATATTAAATATGGATTAACACTTTAAAAGCAGCAGCATGCAGATACCACAGAAACTCATTGAGAGGATCAAAGTTTCCTGTGGGCCCTGACATGGATCCTGGATGTGAACTGGTTCAGAGGAAGTTCACGTCTTTATTAAAGATTTCCTTTAAGTGTCCTCTGGAGGCCGAGAGGGGGAAATCTCCCGCAGACTCTGAACATCTCACAGCTCTTTAATCTCTCAACTTTAATTGGACTGTTTAACCCGGGGCCCGGCGGGACCAAGAACTGCAGCTCGCTTAAATTACTGTATGGAGAAACTGTAAGAAAAAATGTTCAAACTGAAGAGACGGGGCGGAGATATAAAAAGTGCAGATTAGAGAGGAAATGAAAAGCAGAGGAACGTTTAGAGACTCCAGTGTTTCCCTTCTCAGCTTTCAATACCCAACCTCTTCTATGGAGACACTATTACTGTGCACACAAGATGCTAACTTGGGCAAACGAGAGACTACATTTTACACTGAGGGAACTAGCTCATACACACACTATGCTAACGTGTCCTAGAGACCAATTTACCTACAATATGATAAATGGACTGTACTTATACACGTATTTATCCAGTCTCTACGACCCCTCAAAGCACTCTACATTCACAAGTCATCATTCACCCTTTCACACATATTCATACAGAGCAGTACCACTTTCTGCTCAAGGAAAACCTAGCAGTCACACACACACACACACACTTGGATATCGGGAACAACTCTGGGTTAACGGTACGTCCACACGGCAGCGTCGCGTGCTTCAACGGAGACGCTTCCCATTCACTTTGAATGGGGTGACTTCACGCTTTGCCGAACTGCATTGTGGTTCCGTCGCGTCGCTTTGCCTCCGTTGCTCGCTTTGAAAGTTGAGAAAAGTTCAACTTCTCAAGCGTTGACGGAAGTGCCAGCCAATCAAATTATATTTCAGTACTAAATCCAAAGAACTGCTACAGGATTTGATTTGTAGATTTGATTTGTTTTTGATCTGTATTTTGAAAATTATGTAACTTTTTTAGTTTTTATCTCTTTTTAGCATATTGTTTATTATATTATAACTTAGTACTTTTTTAACACATGTAAGATATGCAACACTAAGCTGTCTGTGGCTCTTTCCTTCTGTAACGCTGCAAATTTCCCCTCTGTGGGACTAATAAAGGAATTCTGATTCTGATTCTGGAGGAAAAGAGAGAGGGTTTTATTTTCTGATACTTTGTGAGTTTCCTCACACACCAGGGACACATTTATGTATAAAGACATCGAAAAATGCATTTGGTATGATAGGTCCCCTTTAAGTACAAATGTGAAGTACTTTTACAGTTGAGTATATCCATGATATGCTAGCCTTATACACCTACTGCATTTCATAGGGAAAGTAGCCTAATTCATGTTTACCCCACAATGTGTATTTGAACCATGTAATAACATACTGTCACTATATGTTGATGTGTTATTAACAGCTAAAGTGATTAAAATGTGAGATGCCTGTGGTTGTAAGACATTTCAGAAATGTACTCTAATATGTATTAATCCTTTTTAATTTGTTTCCCTTTACACCACCCTAATGACTGTGAACTGAAACTCATGTTTATGCTTGTCTAAGCTGTCAACCTCATTTCCTGCCCGAGGCATCGGTGCCAATTTACTGTACACTGGTCTGAAATGCATTTAGATCACAGCAGTAATAATTCCTGCTGTAATCTCCTTTGGATGAGTCCCAGTGCTGCAATGACAAGAACACGGGTCATTATACGCTTCAGTAGTATTATATAGCAGGAGTCAACTAAGCACTTAGTCTTCATCATACAGTACATCACTTATTTCACAACCGTTTTGATGGTGCTGTTAATTATATGCTTACATATGCTCTTTATCTATATCTTGTTGTATTACTTAAGCAACAGACTGGATTAGATTGTTATTATAATCTATGTTGATTTCGTTTTTTCTCTTATTTTCTTGCTATTAAAAATGTTGCCGCTAAACTTATAATGTTATAACTTGCATCATACTATGATGTATTATACTCATCATTTAATTTGAGGCAGGTTATCAGCTTTTGCCAATTATTTTCTTTTCATTTTATAGACTCAAAATATGTTTGCTGTATTTAGTAATAAGAAATAAATGCCTTGTTTGCGAAGGTGACATTCATAAACTGAGAATGTCGTTCATGCTTTGTCCAGCAGATGGGAGTAAAGTTCCATTCTTCATACTTATGAAGAATATTTGACTTTATGTTCTCGGTTGATTAACAGTGGTGGAATGTAACTAAGTACATTAACTCAATAACTGTACTTGAGTAGAGATTTTGGGTTTCTTTTATTTTAATTGAGTATTTAAATGTTCTGCTACTTTATGCTTATGTTCCACTACATTTCATAGTGACAGATTGTACACATTAACACTTATTTAACAGCTATGGTTATGTTTCAAATTAAAATAGTAGTAGAACTATAATAATAATAATGATGATAATAATATTACTCATAATTACAAAAATATATGCGACAACATTAAAGTACAGCCTAAATATCAATACTTCATTCTTTTTTTCTCGCAGTACTTCTACGTTTATAGAAGGGATCACCATGAAATATCTGATGATTATTAGACATTATTTT